GTGGTCGTGGTGGTGGTGGTGGTGGTCGTGGTGGTGGTGGTGGTGGTGAAGGTGCTGGTGGTGGTAGTGGTTGTGGCTTTTGGTGGTTCGTGTTTGTTCGTGTCTTTACAAAAACTCTTTCGCGTTGTCCCGCGACAACACAAGACTCCCACCACTTCGCACGGGATCACAGCACACCCGACACGGGAACCGAAAACACCGGACGCGAAAACCAGCAACACCGGAGACCTAAACGCACCGAACGCAGGAACCGAAAACACCGGACGCGGGAACCGAAAACACCCGCGCAATTTTTCCCTCTTCAACGCAAGGTGGGAACCGAAAACACCATCACAGGAACTGAAAACACCCGCGGGCACTGAAAAAACCGAGCCGGGCACCGAAAACACCGCCGCGCGGGAACCAAAAACTCACTTGGGAACCAAAAACACCGCGGGAACCGAAAACACCAACGCGGGAAGAAAAAACACCGCGGGAACCGAAAACACCAATCCGGGAACCAAAAACCCGGAGCCCGACTCCGCCATCCCCACGCTAGCCGCTACACGTGGTGCGTGGGACATCGTCTGACATCTCTGAGGTCTGACGCATCCTGCCTGGCGGGATATTGGTGCTTTGGATGACATGGGAGGATGGAGAGAGGTCAGAGACCTCGTGCTAACTCAGAAGGGGGAGGTTCCCCCCGGGGTTTTCGGCAGTTGACAGGTTTGGGTTCTCCATCATCACCATGGGCACTGTCTGGAGGCCCCTTAGGCCCAACGAAACGGTCGGTGGCCCGGGAAATCGTCTTCCCAAACGAAACGGTCGGTGGCTTGGGCTGAGGTATCTTAAACATGAGCGCCAATCCGGCTCACCCCTTTCACGTCGCCTGCGGCAACAACAAGATGCTGCGGGACGATCCCAAAGAGAAAGGCCATGAGCAACGGGACGGGGGGTCAGCTCTCGAGCAACCGCGTTTTGGTCATAGAGAGCCTGCAGTTTCATCCGGATTTGGTTTATATTTTGGATGCATCCCACAGGATCAGCACAAGAAAAAGGGAAGCTTCAATTTAAACTGCAGGAAGGGCCTGTGGTCTTTGGGGGAAAGCATCATAAAGAGTCGAGGCAAGAAAGATGCAATCAAAGCATCCCAGAAACAAGACCTTCACAAATTGTACAATTACAGAAGAGCCAAGCCGCAAAAAACGCGCCCCACCATCAGTCATTTGATTCATCATGCCCGAATCATGTTCAGCACAAAAAAAACGAACTCCAACATGAGAAACCCAGGAGACCCTGTCTTGTTTGAATGCCAGGTTTGGATCTGTACGAGGAGATGTTGAAGTTTTACAGAGACTTCTACTCCGCCAATGGCATGACTTTGTCCGTCATCGGCAAGGAGAGCATCCCAGAGTTAGAGGCCGGCATGCCACATTGCATCTTTTGCTGATCTTGCTACGTGGGCGCTTGTGGGGGTAATCTTTGGTTGGTATAGATACGCCAGCCAATGCCTTTCAGGCGACTTCTTGATTTCTTCTTTTTCCCGTGTGTTTGAGTTTTACTAGTTTCATGTGAGCTCAGATGTCCTTGGTGTTCTTTCTGGGTCTTTTTTGTTGGGGTCTGTTCCCTCTTCCCTGATATTAAGAGGCTTGGCGCAAGCCGCCTTTCTACCGCTCGGTGACGCGGCCTTTCCTCTCCAAAGGAGTTGGAACCTAACCACAACTGGCAAAGTCCATGCAGCGACGGATTTGGGTTGCCAGCATTTGGCTGGAAGAAGGATATTTAGGGTTTGTCTTATTACCTGTAACAGTCAGTAAACAATTATCACTATTTTTGAACAAGGCCTCTACTAACCATCATCATCATCATCATCATCATCATCATCATCCACTGTTATAGATAATAGGATAGACCCAAAGGATTATCTCTTTTCAGGGTTCCGCGACCCACAGCCATGCCCATGGATTTGGATTCAAGCCAAGATGAAAGTGTAAGACCCTTTGTTGCCACTATCCACTTCCATGATGCGGAAAAAGCGGGGCGGAGGCCATGATTCGAGAGAAGTTCTCTGTGATCGTGAACAAGAACTTGTCTCTGCCCCGAGGCAGACTTGGGGCGGTCGAAGGACCAGCAGAGAGGACGACTCAAAGCAGTGCTTGTGTAAGAGTTGCTGAAGTTGCTGGATGGAGGGATTTGGAAGATTTTGTGCTGACAATGATCTACAATGATCTTGGACTTTGGTGTACTTCTCTAGAGGTCCAGAACCACTGAACCTCCTGCAGAGTTAAGGCCGTGGCATGCCACGGCTTGAAGTTTGGAACTGGATCCTTCATTTAGCCAAGCGAAAGGTGACATGTGAAAGGGATGATGGATATATAGATTCATCCGGCAAAAGAGCCTGGGCGACTGGATTGGTCTCAAACTGGGTGAAGCACGGTGTTCAGGTCAAATCTGAACATCTGACTGTCTCACCTTCGGACCTTGGTCAAACCTCGAGTCCCAACAACCCAGCTGTGGGAGGCGGGAGCGAGTCTCCGTCTTCGGCGTCTCCGTCTTCGGTCGGTGGAAATCAGGCGATGCCGTGAGCGACCAGCCGCCCTTCTTGCCAAAGGTGGGGGCGTTTTCTGGGGTGAGGCAGGGCCAGAGGGCAAAAAGGCAGGTCTTTCGAACGAAGTGGACACACCTTTCCTAGCAACTGAGATTTGGTATAACTTATCGTATTTTTGGGCTGCTGCAGTCGCGGAGTAGATGAAAGTGGGTCCTATATACGGGCTCTTCCACCAGGTGGCCATCATTAAATAGTAAGGAGATGTACGGAGCATGGTCCCCAACTGAGATCTTTCAAGGATTTTGCAAGGTTTGGATCACGAATCCGCTGGTCCTTTGGTTGATTTGTAGGTCTTGACCCGCGAGCTGCCTTGGTCGAATGGCAACACCTGACGCAAACATCTTCTCTGTGGCACAGGAGTGGAACCGCTTGCTCCTGCAGTCGCCTGTGAAGGATGTGAAAACGCTCCTTGGTCTCCGGAAGTGCGACAAGCGCTTCCAGGGTGAACTCGACGGGGCTTGTCAGTCTTGGCCCGTTCTTCCAGAGTGGCTTGTTTGGCCCTCACGATGTCAGCTCACGTCCTTTGGTGTCGTCGTGCGAACTTGCGCACAAGAGGGCATACGAGACGCGGGAGAGAGATCCGGATCAGATCCTTTTTCTCTTCTCTGAAGGATGGGTTAGCTGAGGTTGAAGTTCAGTTGGGTCCTACCCTGGCAAGCACCGTTGTGGCGGAGCAAGCCCAAGGCGCGTATCTTGGGCCGGGAGGTATCGTATATGAAGCCTCCAAGACTCATTTGGGATGCGAGAAGAACTGGTTTGTCCCACCGGGTCCCTTTGAGGATCACCTCCATGAGCCCTCAGCCGCCGCTCGGTGGAGGCCTATGCCACCCACTTACTGGGCCACGAGGGTTCCGGCTCGCTGCGCCTGGGCACGCGGCCTCGAAGCCGTTTCGGTGTCGCGGGGCTTGTGGGAGGGCGGGCTGCGAAGAAGAGGACCATGCAGTGAAGCGGTTTGGTGTCAGATCAAGACGTAGCCCTTGGTCACGAAATGTAGAAATGGGCCACCCTGTGTGATGGCTTTCTAGCAGGAACTACATTCGTCAGTCATTCTCCGGCAAGTGGATGACAAGTATCGGTCAAGGAGTTTGTCGAGGGTTACCCGGTAAAAGGACATGTCCACGTCACCCATGAAAACAGCAAAGAGTTTACGAATCTGTAGAGGTTACGAACTGTTTGAAGCAGCGAACCGCCAACTGTTTTAACTCTAGTGCTGTAGACTCTTGATCAATAGACGCACTCCATTTGGACTGAAAAACACATCTTCAAAATTGGGGGGTATTTTCCACATTAAACTATACATTGTTTAACAACATCTGTGTTGTCCGTTTCTCCCCTCGTTGACTCGGGTCGGTCGGATCAGCGTTCGCAAGGACTGCCCGCCTCAAGGACCGAGTGACTCGGTGACGGGTGAGGTGATTGCCGCGCCGCCTGGGGGTCCCCCGAAGGAAGGTCGGACGCCTGGGGGTCTCTGGACCCACTAAGCCTTTGGCATTTGCGCAGATTCGTCGGGTAGGGAGGTTCCAGCTGTTTGGAGTCCGACCTGACTGCCGCAGGAGCGCGGGCTCATCGCCAGCTGCGTCTCCTCTGGTGGTGGTTGGTTAGAGGTGAAATGGATAGGGATGGGATTGGGTTGCTGCTATGTGATTGTTTCGTGGGACAGCAGTTGGATTTCCCAAGTCGGTGCAAACAGATTCTTGTGCTAGAAACCTGACAATCTAGGTGCCCGTTTGTACAGTTTTGGGCAGAATCTCCTGAACATCCGCGCTCCAGTTTCCCACCTGGTGATGGTTCTTTTCAACGACACCCAGACGTGGCAGGGTGCCTTCTCCTTGCTGCACGTGCAGTTTGTGCTCACCGACGGTGCTCCGAGCTGCCGTGGTTTGCCGTTCGAACCACTCCGAAGACGACCAGCAGCGAACAGCGAACTCTCAGGAGGTTCGTTCGATTCATTTCTTTACATCCTTGATTTTCTGGGAAGGGCTTTACTATGGAAGGGGTGCATGGTTTCCGAAGAGTTCCTTTCGGGTGGATGCCTTGCAGATATTGATTTGGGGTGTGTGGGGTAAAAGGACACACTCCAAATCATGGTAGATGAGACATCTCTCAAAAGAGTCTTATGTTCAGATTTCCGTTTTGCATGTCAACTAGTAGGAGTTGACCAGGGAGAATTGACTCACAGGATGTTTGCAGGACCCCATCTCCAAACCACAGGAAGGAGTAGAGCAAGTCGGAAGACCCATGTATTTGACTCATTTAGTTTAAGGCTTGGCTAAAATGGGTCTTATGGCACGGATTGATTTGCAAACTTGTCGAATTAACCAGTTTGGAAGAGAGCTGTTGCGAGAAAGTGGGTTTCTTTTTCACTTTTCAAATTCAATGACTTTGTGCAGACCTTTGAGTGTGACCAGTCATTTTAGATAACCATTATTTGGATAAAATGGGGGGGGGTGAACCTCACTATCCGGTAGCAACAGGGATGTTGTTTCATGTTGTTTCTATGATGAGTTCCTCATAGCTTCCCGGTTGACAAACACAATGGCGGAAGATGTCAGTCTGACATCTCATTGATGTATTTATTTTACATATACTGTCGTAGAGAAAATAGATTCCTTTGTAGAAGTCAAGCACAAAGTTGACCTGACATGTTTTTGACCCCCAACATGTTGGACGTTGAGTCTTGCTGTATGTCCCGCACTGGCGCCGCACGGGCGGTTCACCGCATACCATCCCACCCTTGCCATGTCCGAGGTGCTGTACACGAGGTCGAGGAGATTGGCAAGCTCCTCTTCACCTACATTGGCATGTTGCAGAAGGTGGGCTGTCGCAGACCCGACTGCAGAAATGGCCTGAAAGGGTTTCCGATGTGGGCATCCTGACAGCACGACCAGCCCGAATGCTGATCCAGCCGAAAGTCTTCCTTTGCCAAGAATCAGATCCAGCAAGTACCCCTGGCACCCCGAGACCCCACTGATCACCCTGGCGAATCGATATTTTTCTGAGTGCTCTTCGCCACCGGCCCAGGGTCGAGAGTTCAGGAGACCATGGGTTTCCAAAAACACCTGAAAGCGGGAAAGTTGCAGGGATAAATCGTATAAAAAGGGTTTTGGAGTTGCCCCTCAGAAGTCTTACGTTCATCCTAGCCTTCCCCGAAGCTGAAGGAACCATGGCTCAAACTTAGCCCGTTGGCCCTGATTGTTGGGAGCACGTATATAACTTGCATATATATATATATATACTAGGCCAAGATCACATGGGAGTTAAGGCCCAAAGTGAGATGAGAGACAGGTACCGTAAGTCCTAAGTACATACGAGGCTAAACGTTAGGTAGCCGTAGGTGGTATATGGTGAGATAGGAGTTAGGCACCTAGCAGAAGAGTCTTGGAGTGAGTATATAATTGGAATCCCCCACCAGTAGTGGCGGGTGTGAAGAATATGTCTCACCCCGAGTCTTCTCCGCAAACACCGGCAAGCACCGAAAACAACAGGACTGTGACTGTACCATCATCTATTTCAGAAGAAAAGAAACCAATGTTACTAGTAGCGATGCACTTGTTACTACTAGTAAGGCACCTGTTACTACTAGCGTGGCACTTGTTCCTAATCGCCAAACGCTTCTTTCCCCCGGTCGTTCTCCGGAAGTACCACGCGCCGCCGCCTGGTCCTCTTCCGTCGTCCACCCGACGGTGCGAGGTGGGAGCGAAGCAGTGGATCTTAGACGCTCGAGCGAGTGAAGACGATCCAGTGAAAAAACCGGGTCGAAAACGAGCCATGCCGACGCGAGCGGCGCACCAAAGGGTCTAGGAGACGCTTGTACCAAGACCCATGCAGTTCTGAAGAACCACACGGCGAAGAAGTACTTCGCCCGATGTTCCCCGTTTCGACCCATCAGTTGTGAAGAACAACTCGAGCTGATAGAGCTAGCTCGATCACCTTGCAGTCAAGTTGGTCAGCATGGCTCATTAAACCTTTAGACATGATGAGAAAGGGTCTGTGCAACCTTTGTATTTCCACTGGTTGGGGTCATGACATACACTTCTCCAGCATTGAGGAGCTGTTGTTTACATGGATCAAAGAAAGTGACGACCTGTTACAGCGGAGACGAAGAATTCCACAGAGAGCGACCCGTGAAGACCTTCCCTTCTGAGACCCCCGGCGGACCGCGGACCGCGGACGATGAGATGGTGTGAGGGTTTTGACCCTTGCGGGTGCACAGGTGGGAGTGAATCACTGCCCCAGTCCAAATTTGGATGGTAAAGGCTCTTCGTCTGGGGGTTTGGTTGGTTGAAAACTCATCCACCGTCTACATGATGGTCTTCTATTCAGAAAACCTACTTGGGTGCCTGGTGCCTACTCCTACTCCTCTGCACAGATTGTATTGCAGACTACTCGAAATATTAACGGATCATCAGCGACCATTGCAATCACCACGGAAACACCCAATCAAGACACACTTGGCACCAGATATAGATTGGGGCTTAATGAGTTTGTTGATTAATAGAGGGGATTCCCCTAAGTGTACACCTAATAGGTATATGATGGTAGCAAATCGACCCTTCCATTATTCCCAAAAGCGCCCTTTTTTCGGTTTCAAGAACCCCAATGATCAGACCTGATTAGCCTCTCCTCCTTTTCTTCTCCTCGCGCCACGGCTTGGGTCTCAGGAAGAGATGCAGCGCTTGCATCGGATCCAATTCAAATTCATGCCCGATGCGAAGCTGCACTTGGCTTCGATCGATGAGGTGGATTTTTTGTCAGAGCTGCCTTCCCTCACACAAACATGGAGAACTGAGAACCCCTTGTTCTTAGGCATCCAAGCGCCCAATTTTTCCACTTCACGCTGGCTGCGGAGAGAACTCAAGAAAGAGGTAGAACTCAAGAGCCTATTCTTGTGGCAGTTTCTTTTGCAAATTGGGGAAGGCTGATCATCTTCATTCTGCTCGAAAACGGCGCTTGGGACCATCTGCCTTTGAATTTCTGTAGGAGCAAGGTAGCATCCAGGGTTTCCCTGAGGGCCTCCGACTGTCCTGAGATCTTGGTCGTGGAGAAAGCTTGCTGGAACCAATTCTTGGGTTGCAGGGGGTATCTTTCAAGATCCTGAAGCTTTGCTGCGAGATTCAGGCGCTACACCACCGGGGAGACAAAGACTGGGACCGACTTGGAGCCCAAGAGATCCCGGCTTGTTACGGCACTTTTTCGAGGACCGGCAGCCTTTTTCCTTGGCTGCCAGCATTGCAGCCAACCTGCAGGCGCGCCGGGATGTGTCAAAGCCTGAAGACCGACCAGTCCACCATGTATGTAGCGAACGAAACCTTCCTCCCAGGCGGGTCAACCAAGGTATAGTGATTTTGACCGCACAAGCATGTTTCCTTTTCACCTGGGTGCCAGGCACTTCCAGTCCTTGTCGAAGCCCCCTTTGGTGGGGTTGATAGGCCTTCCTGAGACCCAGAGAGGGCTCGAGCCGTCGCGACGCCACATTTTGGCCAGGTACATCCGCCTGCAGAGGTGCTCAGTGGTCCAGTCTTAATCTATGACACTTGGAGGGAACTTATGAGTTTTGGATCGAAACTGGATGGGTTTCGGATCGAAGCCTGATGGAGAGAGACGGAAGGCCTACCAGAATGCAGGAAGAGCCGGCCCTCATCATGGGCTGGCATATGGTGCTCAGCCTTTGGAGTGGATTTTCATGGCTCGTTCATGTGATTTCGTCTCGGCTCCAGAGCAAGGGGCACCAGATCTCGTTTCTGAACATCCAAACGGTCCAGGGTCTGGTCCCGATGACTAGATGGGATCGGTTTCTTTATATCTCTATTTGGTTGATTCTTTTGGAGAACCAGAAACATAATGAGGGGCCAAAAAATTAGAACCGGTCAGTTGCAGTTGTAGTTGTAGTTGTAGTAGTAGTAGTAGTAGTAGTAGTAGTAGTAGTAGTAGTAGTAGTTGTAGTTGTAGTTGTAGTTGTTGTTGTTATCATCTTACCTCTCTTCTTTTCCTGCACTTCGGCGCCCCAAACCTCCGATCTCACCACTTGGGCCTGCACGGCCTCCACAGCCCTCCACAGCCCACATAGTCACGGCGCCGACCTGGTCGACGTTGTCCAGGACCTGGACGTGACGGGGGCCCAAGAGATTCTGGAGCGCCTCACCTTGGAGGCCGTGCGGGTGACGCACCAGGCCGGGCCGAGGTTTGTTTTAGAGCTGACCTGCTGCATGGTGGAAGGAGTTGTTCTTTTTCAGCTGAGTACCTAGGAGGCTTTCAGCCTCCTTCAAGTGTTGTGAGTGGCACCGCTCCAAAAAAGCCTGTCAGTGCTTTTGCGCCAAAAGCCTGGCACGCTCCGATCGACTTCCGCGGGTACCCGAAGCCGCTCCGAGGCCAAGGTGCTGGAGGAGCGCTGTACGGAGCGCGATAGCAGCTACGACTCCCCCATGAAGTTCGAGGCACCCGGGAGTCGTAGCTCCGGCACTTGGGTGTTTGGCTTCTCTCCGAGAGTGTCTCGATGGGGGGTGGCGGGTCTGAGGACCGAAGCTCTAGAGAGCTCCAAGGAGGATCTGGTTTCTTTTGGTTCGGTCGCTTCAGTTCTGAATGGGCTAACAAGCACAGGACAAGACAAGGGGGTGGCGGTTCATTGGGAGGATGGCAACACCAATGTGAACAGTTTTTGAGTACCATGGGTCGAGAGGTTTTCTTGCGAGATCCGGAGCTGGAGACTGTGCAGTTAAACTGTATCCTGCAGTTGCTGGTCAATCTCATAGTTACGAGGTCCCGTTCTTCTGCGACAGAGGATTTCTGAGTGCACCAATTCCTCTGGAGGTCCGAATGGGAGGGGAGGGAGTCTGACGAGTCTGACCTCTTCGCCAGGAACTTCCGGATGCCTGGAGAGAAAGCTGGTGCAACGCCTTGCATGCAGGCTGGCTTGTTTCTCACTCACGGAAAAAAACGATTTGGACTACGCTGACGTCCCGGATCTTACGACGGCAGAACTGCGGCCCGGCTGAACGGGTTTCTGTCTCGTTTGGCCTTCCCCCAGGCAGCACCGCGGAGGAGGCGGTGAAGGCCGCGGAGGCGGTGGGGCTTCATCTGCCGCATCCCAATCCATTCATCCCTGAGGACCTGGATTTGAAGGCCCACGGTGGGGGAGGACTGGGTCATGGGGGTGCTAGCTGGTGTGCCGTGGTCCGAATTCATGAGGTACAGAAGAGGGGGAATCCCAATCTCTAAGAGACATCCGTTGTAAAGCCCAGGAGAGGATTTTGGAAGCTTTCTGTATAAACCCTGCAAGAAGTGGCTTCTTTTATATAAAGGCTTTGACTCAGTCCGACAAAAGACTGTCAAGTTAGAAGTCCAAAACCGAGAAGACAAGGTGAGTGATGCCTTTTCAGGCCATTCTTTGCCGTCAATCCATGGAGAGCCCCGAAAGCATGCGCTGCGCGATCTTCATGGCTCTTCATGGTATTGGGCCTTTAGAAGCACATTTCCCAAAGATGCATGTGGGTGTGTATTAAAATAGGGAGACCTCCTCCCAAAGACGCAGGGAAATAGATCAAAACCCAGTTGGGTCCTCCGGTCTCCCTATTGAAATACATACATACCTAGCATTTGTTCAAGAGGCTCCTGCCTCCTACACGTCACCACCATGGCCTCGATTCCAGAGCCTTACAGGCCCTTAACGTAGTGGATGGTTGAGGGGTGCAGCGTGGCACGTCGGAAAGGCCTTGCTTCTCTGGTGTCTTCTATAAGATCTTGGAGTGTCCAAAAAGATGACCGACAGTTTTTTTTTGTGTTTTTCCCGAAAGCATTGCGAAGGGTTCTTCCGGAAAATCCTTTGAACACTTACACTTCGACACTTACACTTACACACACACACACACACACTGGACGAGCGAAAGCATCCAAGTGCGAAGTATGCCAGTGGCAAAGTATGCAAGTGTAAGTATGCAAGCATGATATGCAAGGGTGAGTATGCAAGCACGCAATGAGTATACAAGCATGCAATGAGTAGGCAAGTGTGAGTATGGAAAACTAGCACGGGAGATGTCCTAATGAAAAAACATTTCCCCACTTTATAAACTCTCTCTTAAAGGCGGAGTGCGGGACGAACAGCGTCAACCGAAAGTGCAACCCTCTGCGGAGATCGTGCGTGTCGAGTGCGCGAAATGCAGGCGAGAGTGCGATTTGTCCGGTGCGCGCGCAACCCTCTGCGGAGATCGTGCGTGTCGAATGCGCGAAATGCAGGCGAGAGTGCGATTTGTCCGGTGTGCGCGCAACCCTCTGCGGAGATCGTGCGTGTCGAGTGCGCGAAATGCAGGCGAG